AAGGCGCTGGGCCGAGGCGGCCGCCCCAGGACCCCAGGAACGTGGCCTTGAATCCCCTGCCCACCCCCAGGCATGGTGCTGGGAGCCGAGCTGCCCGGCTTAGAGTGTGGGGTGAGTGGAGACCTGGGGCTGGGTCCTGCTCTCTCCGGCCCCAGCCTCCCCTGCATGAATGGCAGCGACGAGCCCCCGCCTCTGCGGGCCCTGAGGGTGAAGTGAGCCCGGACGCCAGGCTTCAATGCCACCCTCAACGCCGTTGTCACGCCCCTCATGGGCTGCTAGGATTCCAGCAGCCGTCAGACTAGATGAGAGCACTCTACAGAAGGCCCTGCAGATTTCTGGAGACGGGGGGCTGGAGGTTGAGGAAGGGGCGATCCTCGTCTTCTCTGTTTATCACGGATTTATAAAACACCGTCTTCTCACTTTGAACTGTCTGTTGCGGCTTTTAAAAAAACTACCGTGTGATGTCTCACCGAATGGTCGTTGACAGACCCTGAGTTTCTCGAGGCAGGGCTGGCGGCCTCGTGGGGCACCGCGGGCATCAGGCTTTCTGTTCGGTGACGGCAGTGATTCCCCTGTCTTTCTCCTGTGAACTGTACCCCTGCCCAGAAGGGAGCGAAGCCTTTGTGTCTGCAGGCCCGGCTCACCTTTTGAGATTCTGCTCCTTCCCGACTTCCCTGCTCTGAGTCATTGCTCTGTCTCCAGTTCTGACTTGGCCCCCACTGAGCGGAAGAGCCATGATCTGTTTAAGCCTCCTTTATGTATTGCGAAGGCCCCGGAGGTTAGATAATTACCCCGAGCTGGAGCCTGTCTCCAGGTATCTTGGCTTAGGGGAACAGATGTGCTGGCCAAGTGTGCTGAGAAGGTAAACTACATTAGAGAATTCTGTTTCCTATTTACTTCGACAGGAAATCAGGAAGGGTCTTTGGCCAGAAAGGGGTTGATGTAATTAAAGTGAACTGAGAAATGTGTAATTTTTTTGATTATATAAAGAAATACTTAACCTTGTTATATTAAAATGTTAACAATGATCCTCAAAGTATCAGTTAAAAGTTTGCTCTACCCCAAATAATGAATCACTGGGTTACAAAAAATGAAAGTGGAAACCTAACATGGCCTAGCATGATCTAGCATGGCCTATCATAGCCTAGAATTATCTAGCATGGTCTAGTATGGCCTAGTTTAACCTATCATGGCCTACCATGGCTTAGCATGATCTAGCATGGCTTAGTATAGCCTAGCATAGCCTAGTATGATCTAGCATGGCCTAGCATGATCTAGCATGGCTTAGTATAACCTAGCATGGCCTAGCATGATCTAGCATCACCTAGTATAGCCTAGCATGGCCTAGCATGATCTAGCATCGCCTAGTATAGCCTAGCATGGCCTAGCATGATCTAGCATGGCCTAGCATGATCTAGCATCGCCTAGTATAGCCTAGCATAGCCTAGCATGACCTAGCATAACCTAGCATAGCCTAGAATGACCTAGCATGGCCTAGCATAGCCTAGCATGATCTAGCATAACCTAGCGTAGCTTAGCATGGCCTAGCATGGCCTAGCATGATCTAGCATGGCTTAGTATAGCCTAGCATAGCCTAGCATGATCTAGCATAACTCAGCATAGCCTATAATGGCCTAGCATGGCCTAGCATAGCTTATCATGGCCTAGCATGGCTTAGCATGGTTCAGCATGAATAGATGCCTGGTGTGGCCCCAGGTAGCACTGGCATCTGATGACTGTCTGTCTGATGTGACCCCAGCAGGTACCCTGCCTTGTCACCTCCGTACCCTCGCCCTTCCCATTCCTGTCTCTTACTTCGCCCGTGCTTCCCTGGCCCGTTGTCCCATGTTAAATCTGCCCCATTTTTGAAGGATACTCTGTTTCCAGGAAAGAGCCTGTGTCCCCCAGCCAGAAGTGACTTCTCGTGGCCCTTGGAACCTGCCCTCACGTTACACCCTGTATCATGATTATTGTGACCTGTCTCTCTTGTTACACCTGTTTCCGCATCCTTGTATCCACCTACCCCTCAGCGCCAAGCCTAAGGCCTGGTTGACATTCAGGAAATTTCCAGCACATTGTACCAGGCAACAAATAACTACAGACTCCGCGTGGCTGAAACACCAGTGGCAACTTCTCTCGTGCACCTTCCCCATCCTTCAAGGCCAGCTCTTTCTCTCCAGCTTCCTGTCGTCTTCTTTCAAAGACACAGACTGAGGGGTCAGTCCCCATGCAGGACCTGCTAGGTCAGGTGGTTGCGGGAAAAGAGGAGGTAACCGGCCAGGGAACCCTCTGGAAGCTTCTGCTGGGAGGTGGCCTATGTCACCCCTACCCACATGTCACTACCGCTCCCCTGTCATCGACCAAACTAGAGTCAGAGGCGGAGGGTCCGCAGGGTCCCTGCAAGAGAGAGACTTCCACGGGCCAGATGGATGACCCTCCCATGGGAGGGGACGATGTTTTGGTGGAGGGTGGAGGGTCTGTAGCTCAGGACTGTTAAGTGACCAGGTCATTCTGGTGATCCAATGGGCCTGGAGCCAGGTGGCCATGAGCCAGCACTCTCTGCTTCCCAGCAAATTAAGACTGAGCCAGGGACAGCCATTTTGTTCCAGTGGCCGTTTGTTCCCCAGTGACTGATGGCTGGTGGCCACGTTGGGGGCAGCGAGTCCGCCTAGGGGGTTGAGTAAGCTGCCCGTCCTGCTCTGTGGGGCTTGCCTGCCAGCGTGCAGCCCCCAGCACCCAACCTGCAGGGCCTCCCTACACAATCAGCCAGAAGCCCAGGAGATTCCAGAAATCTCCAGGCGCAGGGTGCCTCTAGAAGCTTGTGCTGTCTCCGGCGGCTCCGTGGCTGCCAAGGACTGGCTCGCAGCTGTGTGGCGGCATCGTCAGCCCCGACATGAGACGTGCAGAGAGAATCTCCACTCTGCGCCTTCACCTTTGTGAGCCCCTCTTCGGTGCTGTTTGCAGGCGATCTGCTATCAGCAAATGCCAGAGCGCGCTGCACTAAATTGCTTCTAAAAACTGATTTCACGCATGTTCCGAAAACATTCTATACACCACGGGGGCGAAGGGGGGAGAGCCATCAGACAAGGGCTTATCAGAGGCTCCATCCGTTCCCTCCGAACATGCTCCATGCCAAACCAGAACTGCATCTGGGGCTGAACACAAGGGGACCTCCCCCAGTCAGGTCGTCCTGCCGGGACGGAGACCCAGAAGCTTCCGGGAGCCAGAAAAGTAGGTCTCGAAACCGACACGCTCTGCTCTGTGTTTACACACATTTCTCTCTCTTCCCTGCCTGTGTCATCATCAAAAAAATCCTCACTCCCTGAGTCATTTTTACGGCACAAAAGCTCTGTGCGACAGGACAGCTGGTGGGCACATCGGAGCATCTCAGCTTGGGGACGGCAGTTCGCGTGGCTCAGCCGCCCCGCACGCGACCGGCGGGTCTTGTCCAGGCACGTGGCCCCTGAATTCCAGGAGCCGCCTCGAGCCCGCAGAAGCACCGGTTTCTGTGGACCACCGTGTCCGGAGAAGGGTCGTGGGCCCAGGGTTTGAAAAGGAAACCTTGGGGTTGGAGGTCGGGGGAGACCACGCACAGACGGTTCTAACTGACTACCGGGGTAATGGCCATGCTCAATTTCGCCTTTCACGTTTTAATTGTACAACAGTAATTTTGCGATAGAGTTGCCGATGGCAAACATGCAAAAGACATTAACTTTATTTATGTTTTGGATTATTAATGTGGCTGTTAAAATTCCTCCAGTTAGTTTTGATTGAATTGTTTTTTTGTGTGATTCTGTTGTTTAATGGAGCGGTAAATAAGAATTTCTGATAATGAGGCCAAGCATCTGTCACAACAACCTGGTGTGGGTTATTAACATTTCCATTAACGGCAGGGTGGGCAGCGATAATACGGGAACCACACAGTTAGAACAAAATAAATAGTCGGTGTCAGGCTGAGTGGGTGTTAATTACTATTTGATTCTACACTGGGGGGGGAGAGGGGAAGGGGTGACTCTCGAAGGTCGTTCTCTCCCGAGAGCCAGTGTGCTGGGCTGTCGCCCTCGGACAGTGGCTGTTGCGTGGTCTCCGTGCGTGGCCGGGAACGTGCTTGAGTCGGAAGGCAGTGCTCGTGGGCCCGCGGGCCGAGCCCCCCCAGACGGCTCCCAGGGCTCCGGGGTCCAGCCCAGCACAGCCCTGTTGGGGTGCACACAGGCGGGAGAAGGGAAGGACTCCCGGGAGGCAGAGAGAAGTGCGTCCCGCACAGATGCCCGGCGAGGAATGCAGAGACGGAGCGGAGACGTGTCCTGTGTGTGCACACGTGCTCTCGGTGCCATCCCAGCTTCCCCAGGGCCGCCTGCCGGGCCACGGCCACGGTGTCCTCTCCGGGCACAGTGTGGTCCCCAGGGCGGTAGGGCAGGGTCGCAATCGAGGACTGGGTCCTCAGAGTTCGAGCCATAAGGGGCCTGGGTAGAGGGCAGGGGACGGGGACCAGCCTAGGCTGGTCCCTGTCACCGCTGGAGGACGGCCCAGACCCGGGGAGCCAGGCTCCACGACGCGAGATTCCTGAACTTGGGATGGACACGTGGGTGCCTCATTTTCTCCGCGTTCTGTCCAAAATGCACTGCCTCCCTCCACCGTGAACACAGCAGCATGGTGCGTACGGCCAGCGGGACCCGCAGCTCGCTCAGCAACAGCCCCCCACCCACGTCCCGCGCCCACCCACGACGCACGCAGATGACCAGATCACGCTTTTGTTTCTGAACACTCTGCCAACCGCGTCTCAATATAATTATTATAATTAATATAATTTTCTTCGTAATCCTCCAGATTCCATTTTATGCCAACTGAAAACGTGGTTCCGGGAAGGGCGTGTGTGGCGCTCCCTGGCCTAAAAGCTGCACGGCCCCGGGGCAGGCTCTGAGGCCGCCCACCCTGGAGCCAGGGGCCCCGCACGCGCCAACAGCCATCTCAGCCCCTCTCCTGTGCTGCTCTCTCCCCAGCCCCGGCCATGGCCCCGCAGAACATCCAGGTGACCCCGCTCACGGCCAGCCAGCTGGAGGTCACATGGGAGCCGCCGCCACCGGAGAGCCAGAACGGGAACATCCAGGGCTACAAGGCAATGCTCTTTCGCATGGTTTGGCTCTTCCTTCCAGGTCACTTGGAGGCCCGGAGAGTGGCCCAAATCCACAGAGTTCCCAGCGGCTTCGCTGGAACCCTGGCTGCATGCCACGGCTGCTGCCCCCGGCTCACTCCGTCCTGCCCCGGCACGCGCAGCTGACCGTCAGGACGGACAGCCGGGGTCGGTGCTGAGCGGCTGGGGCAGGCTCGGCCTGACCTTGCCTCTCGGCCTGGGGGTGGGGGCCTGGTTCACCGTGCAGCTGGCTTGTGCCCGGCAGCCCCTCCCTCCCAGGCCCCGCCCAGCACCCTTCCTGCTGCTGCACCCGCTCTGGGAGCCTCCAATATCTCTGCTGACAGCAGAACAGATCTGGCTGAAGAGAACAGGTTCTCCAGCCCGACCCTGCCCTTGGATCTCTGTTGAATATTTCATGAGGCCCAGGGCAGGGGGCCCAGGAATTTGCATTTCTAGCAAGTTCCCCCAGGAGTGTGGTTCCTAGGCACCCCACATTGAGAACCACCACACTAAGGTTCCACGTTAGCTCAACATTCCGGAGATGGGGCAAAGGAAAGACAGGAGGCCAGTGAGTAATTACCCAGAGTAGGTTCATCTGGGGGCGGGAAGCTCCTTGCACGCCTGCCTGGAAGGCCATGTTTTCGGAGAGAAGTCAGAAGGATCAGCTAAAAACAGCCTGAAGAAAGCAGCCCGGGGCCGTCCCTTGAAAACTCCCCCTTCCTTCTCCCGAATGACTCTCCTCGACTGGTATGTCGGAGCCCAGGTTGGTCAGTCATCAGCTTCTGTGGGCCAGCCTGCCCTGATGACTATTGGGCCAATTAAATGTCCATTTAAAAATGATGTTGGTCGGTGTTTTATGAAAATAAATACCTTCCTCCACGACAGGGCTGTTACAGTGATTAATGAGGTAATGGGAAGTCTTACGAGCTTGGAGGCAAGATGCTATTTATGTATGTCCAAAATATGTTTTCTAATTTCCTTAAAGATAAAGACATTGAACTTGGGTATTGATCTCAAGTCAGTAAGGCCTGTTCAAGCGTAGGATCAGATTTGCTCAGTTCCGAGAGCAGGACCGGACCGTATCTTGCGGGCAGGAGTCAGCAGTGCTCGTGGCCGGGAGCCCACGTGGGGGCAGAAAACCTGTCCCAAGCTCTCTGCGGCTCTCTGCCCTGTGGGCCAGTGGCCCTGGTGGCCTGGCTGGGTTTCGCCCCCCGGAGCCGAGGTGGGTGTTGTCTTTGGGCGGCCGGGCTCGCGTCGGCTCAGGGCAGTGGTTCTCTGCCGGCTGTCCTGGGAAACGGTCCTGCCAACCCACCTCCTCCAGCCTCTGTGCTTGGGCCTCAAGTCCGCCCTTGAGCATGTGCAGGCCGGGCGGTGGGGGGCAAAGTGAACCCAGGAGAAACACGGGCCGAGGTCCAGTCCTGCCCAGCGCTCACTGGGCACCTCCCCCACCAGTTTAGAAACCAGGGCTGCCACCCCTTCCCCGTGGCCCCGTGGCCCGTCTCCGACCTCTGGCTCTTATCGGCAGGTTTACTACTGGGAGGCAGACAGCCAGAACGAAACAGAGAAGATGAAGGTCCTGTTCCTGCCGGAGACCGTGCTGAAACTGAAGAACCTGACCGGTCACACCCCTTACCGGGTCAGCATCTCGGCCTTCAACGCGGCTGGAGACGGGCCCCGGAGTGACCCCAGGCAGGGGCGCACCCACCAGGCCGGTAGGAGAGCAGCGTGTTCCGCGGGCTCCCCTTCCCCACGGCCGCGGGTGGCCGAGCCAGGCTGGATGAGCGGCCCCTCCCTGTCCCCACAGCCCTTTGCTCTGCCCAGCCTGTGACGCACGGCTGTCGTGTGCCCGGGGCTTTCTGGAGAGAGAGGCCTGGGTTGCATTCAGCTGCTTTCCCCAGTGCCCAGCCCTGGCCTGCTGCGCGGCGGCGCCCGTGAGACGGCACCTGTTTCCCGAGGACCCTCCCGGGTCGCCGAGGGCAGGAGGGCTCCGCCTCCGCACCCAGGCCTCCTTCCGGTTCCCTCGGGGAGCTTCTTGCTGGGGCTCGGCACCGGCGTGTCCAGATCCCGGGGGAAGCGAGTTCTTTGTACGCCGAGCCCAGGCCACAGCGTCGGGCGCTTCCAGGGTCGCCGGGTTTCAGGGCCACACCCGCAACAGCTTGCAGCCGCTTCTCAGACACCCGCCACCAGCCAGGCGAGAGCACTGCACTGCCACGTGCCTCGCCGCCTGTGACCCCACATCCACACACACAGCACGTGGCTCCCTCTGTCATGAGTGCCAGCTCCCCAGCGGCCTAGAGAACATTAGGAAGCGAGTCAGGATTCCAAGGGAATGTCAGCTTAACCCTGGTCCCACAGACCTGGGATGCACTTTGTGGGACCCAGGAAGTGTAAGGCTGGGGAAGTCAGGGCGACCCGTCCCGCTCGGGGCTCCCAGGCATCCTGCGTCCTGCCTGAGAGAGGACTGGCCAGCGTGCTGGGACTCTTTCCTCTGGGTCTCGTCCAGCGGCCGGACAGGGGCCGTTTCTGGAATCCAGGGTGGGTCACCCGTTCCTCACCAGAGCACTGGGGACTGGGCAGGCCACGGGGCAAAAGGGCCCCCAGGGACTGGAAAGACAGCAGATGGGGGTGTGGAGGGCTGATGGGGGGGGGGCAGCTCCGGGCACAGACCCCCACACGGAGCCCAGGCAGGGGGCGGTGAGCAGGGTCAGCAACCCGGCCACCGCCTGGCTGTCTGCGTTCTGCGGGCAGCTTCCTCCCGCCCGGGGCCTCACTGGGCCCCCCTGTCCCCAGCCCGAGGGCGGACACTGTGACGTTTCAGAGGAGGGCCGGCTGGGGCCCCAAGGGAGAGGCCAGGAGAGGTGGGCAGAGCCTCACGGGGCTGTCTGCATTTCATTCTTTACTCATCTTTCTGTCTTTGTCACCGCGTCCCTTAGGCTCCTTGTGTTTAAACCCCCATCATCTTGTCTCCTCTTCTCGGGAGAGTCCAGGTGTCTGATTGATCCTGGGAAGTTCAGAGGTGGTCTCACGGCGTTGAGACTTTTACGGAGTTGAAAATAACATCTAGTAGCGCTTTTATCGTACGTGGAGGCACAGACATGTGTGGAAATGGTCTATGAAGGAGCTTTACCAACAGTCCCTTCACATCCCACTCTTCCAGCTCCGGGGACCCCCAGCTTTTTGGCGTTCTCAGAAATAACCTCTACCACGCTTAACGTCTCGTGGGGCGAGCCGGTGGCAGCCAATGGCATCCTGCAGGGCTACCGAGTGGTCTACGAGCCCTTAGCGCCCGTGCAAGGTAAGGCCAGGGGTGCGCACGGGGAGGGCACGGCACTCCACAGCATCTGCAGGGCGGGGAGTCTTGTCTGCCAGAGGCACAGCGAGGAGGGCGTAAAGCCCAGTACGAGGGGGGGGACAGAAGAAACCAGCAGCTTCCGGGCAGGAGGGGGTGCCGGCCGAGCAGCGCCTAGTAAGGGGCTCGGAGCCTGGGCTCTGGGGGTGTGGAGCGGGGACCGGGGATGCGCGTGTTCGCGGCGGAGCCCGGGGGACCCGCCCGCTGCACGGGAAGGGGGCAGAGACAGGAGGGCACCCTCGCCCCTTGGTCCCGGAGGTGTGATCCGCCCCTGCTGCCTTGCTGCCTGTCTCTGGTGCTGTTGTAATTTCTGACGCGTCTGTCTCCTCCCCGCTCGCTGCTGCCCCACTGTCAGAGGGCTCCGCGGGCACTTTTTCTCGCCCACTCTGTGCCCGGCACCGGTGCCACAGGAGGGCGCCCGGCCGAGGGCGGGCTTCCCCCGGAAACGCGCGTGGCCAGACTGTAAACGTTGTAGATTATTTAATGCCTAGGAGGAGAAAATATAACCAACGCATCAAATAATATTGGCGCTCCATTTAAAGCCGTGATAAAAGTTTCCTTTTAAAATAAGTACATTCAAGTAAAACGGGGGGCTGATTTGAGGAAAATTTAAGCACCAGATTTCATTTCATCGAATCTAAAATGCCATTATCGGCTCTAAGATTCATTGTTATTTTACGAAGTGCTAAGAAAGAAAAAAGGCCAGCCGTAAACCGCAGCCCAGTATGTTGGCATCATCAACCCCAAATCAGAGATGTAAACACGTGAGGGGAGAGAGTCTCAGACAAGCAATGGATGCGCTTTGGTACATAACAGTAGAGGTGGTACGGGTGTGCGGTGTGTGAAATGGCGGAGGGCACGGGCCCGGCCCGAGATGGCGCGGCCACACCCGCTGCGTCCTCTTCAGGGCCCAGTGCCTGCGTGGGGACCAGGTGGCCCGGGCGTTGCAGACGCCTTTTAACTAGTGCCACACGCAACGGGGAAAGGATGGCCAAAAATCATGGCCCCGAGCCACCTTGGAGCCCCTCCCCATCAAGGTACGGTTTTCCTGCACCTCCTCAAATAAGTGACTTATTCTGCATCAATGCGCTTGTAGAATCTCTCTAGAAACTCCGTGGCATGCACGCCTCGGCCCCCGGGCTGGCTGCCTTCGTCTTATAAAGAAGTACTTACCATCCAGGCAAGACCGTGGCCGTGGCCTCTGCCCAGTCGGGAGCCACGGTGGGCCCTGCTTCGCGATCCCCCGATCTCTGCGTTCCGACGTCCCGGAGTCCTGCCGGCTCGCCACGCATCTGTCCCCACGGCCTCCCCCTACCTTCCAGGGAGATGACCCGCACATCTGGTTCCCTGGGCCTTGTCGGGGCCGTGGTCACGTGGCCTCTGCAGCAGCACGGCCGTGGCTCACCAGACGCCGTCTACACGCCCGGCGCCGAGCAAGGGCACACGCTCTGAGTCCTCACGGCGGCCGGGCCGCCTTTATTCGTAGTTCACAAGAAATCAGGCTCCGAGCCCTTAAGACGACCGCCCAGGGCCTGCAGGTGGAGAATGCGGACACACGTGGGGTTTGGCCCCAGGTGGGCTGGTTTGAGAGCCCGTGATGGGGAAATGTCTGGAGCACGTGGGCTTTGGGGGGGGACACGTGCCACAAACGTCACAGCGGGGAGCGGGAGAAGCCGTCATCAGCGTGTCACAGCTGCCCATGGCACTTGTCTCCCTCCCTCCCTCCCTTTCTCTCTCTGCTTCTCTCTC